GGATATTTCTCTTTCACTAGACTTGCCTAAAACAACCGCAGTGGGCCTTCAGACAGCCATCACCCCTGCCAACCTACTCCCAACCTCTCTAGCTTGTCCTCAGCGTTTCAATGTCTATTAAACCCAGTTAACTTCCTATGTTCCCTGGCTGATTTCTTGAAGAATTTGGGATTTCTGACATCTTCTGATAAGGCACTTTCTATTTTATTTCATTAACCTGTATATTGGCTAGATTTATGTCAACTTGATATCACCTAGAGTCGTTTTGGAAGAGGAAACCCAATTGAGAAGTTTATCCCACCAGACTGGTCTGTGGTCCATTTTCTTGATTGATAATTGATGCAGGAGGGCCAAGCATGTTGTGATTGGTGTCACTTCTGGGCAGCCTGGTCTGAGCAAGCCATGGAAAGCAAGTCAGTAAACAGCACTTCTCCATGGCCTCTGTATCAGTTCCCGTCTCCAGATTCCTTCCTGCCTTGAGTTTTTGTCCTTACTTCCCCAGAAGTGTAAAATGAAAATAAACCCTTTCTTGGGGCTGGAGAGATGGCTCAGAGGTTAACAGCACTGACTGCTCTTCCAGAGGTCCTAAGTTCGGTTCCCAGCAACTACATGGTGGCTCACAACCATCCGTTATGAGATCTGATGCCCTCTTCTGGTGTGCAGATATACATGGAAGCAGAATGTTGTATACATAATAAATAAATAAAATCTTAAAAAAAAAAAAAAGAAAAGAAACCCTTTCCTCCCCAAGTTGCTTTTGGAGGCGGTCTTTTATCACAGCAATAGAAACACTAAGGGAAGATGTATTGTATATTCACTAAATTTATTAGAGAGAGAGAGAGAGAGAGAGAGAGAGAGAGAGAGAGAGCGCAAGACAGGGTCTCACTCACTGTGTAGCCCTATCTGGCATGGAGCACACTATGTATGCCAGAACAGCAGAACAGTCTGGAACTCAAAAAAATCTGCTTGCCTCTGCCATCTGAGTTCTGCAATTAAAGGCATGGACTCGGACACACTAAATTACGGAGGAATGAGGATAGAAAGTTGAGTACCTGGACCAAGAGAACATCAGTGGGTCCAACAGGAACTGAAATACGAATGGTAGTAATTCAAGGTGCTTAGAGCTGAGCCCCCTATCATGATTAAAGTAGGGCTGTCCAATAACATTCCAACAGTGTGACACCATATGTAACCTTAAATTCTATAATAGTCATGTTGAAAGGAGTTTTATAAAATGAACCTAACAATATGAACTAGATACAGCAATATAACCAAATTAGTCTCTTTACCATATAATCAATATTAAAAACCACCAATGAGATATTTATAATCTGAACTAACCCTTTAAACCAGTTGATAACTCATGCTGACAGAACACCTCAACTTGACTGCCCATAGTTCAAGAGCTCCAGGCCCGTGTGACTGGTGAAAAGAGGCAAGTGGAGATCTAAACAATCCTAAAAGTCCCAGAGGTAATAAAAGTTAAGTAAAGCTTGAAGGCTAAAGGACCACTGGAAATAAATAAATCATTTGTGGATCTGAGAGCTAGGCTGGTTCCCATACCTTGATGGGAAGCAGGGCTAGGCTTGGTTAATATCTGGATGGGCAAAAAACAAACAAACAAACAAAACCGTTTACAGTGGAGGGGCAAAATGAAATGACATACACATGTATAGGATGGAACAAAGGACAGGAGGGAAGTGAGAGAAGACTGAAAGCAGTGTTTAAACAAGCTTTTCTAGGATGCTAGAAGATCTTATTCTCTGGGTAGAGGGGAGCCACTGAAAATTTCAACCAAGAAAGTAGTTTATCAGATCTATGCTTAAGACAGATAGTTTACAAGGCTGTAACTAAAATGACATTAGCCAGATCTGAATTCATGCAAATGGAGTTAGACTACAGAGTCTCTGGAAAGTGGATGTCAGCTCCACACAAAGAATTACATTTGTATATTGTCGGTGTTGCCCCAGGCACCATGTGCTCGCTGGGAGGTTGAAAATCCGACTATGGGGATGTAGACACAGATGCCAGATAACTACCGTCAGGGATCAGGCAGAGTAGAGGAGCTCTTTTGTCCCCACAATGCACAGATAGCACCCCGTGCTCGGTTCCCTTTGAGCGAGCTGTAATGTCTTGGCTTCCACTCCCATTCAGCAGCACATTGGAATGCAAGGGAGAGAGACAGGGCTATTATTACCAAGATAACCTTGAGCCTGTTCTAATTTATTTTTTAAAGGAAAATAAATCACTCTCAACCTCTGTTGCTTTATTATTAAGGGGTGGTTAGAAGAACACTTTATTCCCCTAGCAGCTAGTAAAAGAATTCGTTCTTGTAAGAGAATTTCCTTTGCTGTGAAAATGTGTTAATAGGCTAGCTTGGGGGTGGGTGAATGCTTTGGGTCAGAGTGTCACAGGAGGCCAAGGATTCAAGGGACAGGCAGGCAGGAAGCAAGTCCTCAGGTGATGAAGCTGAAGTCCTAGTTCCACACAAGGGAGGACTCTGCAGCCATATTGACAGCAGAGAAAAGTCCTGCATAATGCTACAACAGGGATCACCATAAAGACCAGCTTTGGCCACCAGAGAAGCCACAGGGAGCCCTGCAGAAGACACCAAGTCAGACACACAATCCCCTTAGCAGCAGCACAGTGTTCACAGTAGAGTTCCTAGATACTAGGGCACACAGAGACATGGCCATGGCTAAGAGTAGTCACAAAGGACAGCCACGCTGGACTTGTCAGTTGCTTTTCTCATCGCTGTGACAGAATATTTGACAAATACAACCTAAGGAAGGTCATAGCTTAAAAAGATGGCAACAGGAAGACATGGCAGCAGATGTGAGGCACCTGGTTACACTGTATCTCACAGCAGAGAGACAGGGGGAATGCTGCTCCCTCTGTGAAAGCTCTGCAGGGGCTTCCCCCATACACACACCCAGAGGCACATCTCCTAGATGGTTCTCTGTCTAGTTGAGTTGACCATGAAGATGAACCACTGCAAAGTTGAGTTAGAAGACACTGCCTAGCTTGGCAGGTCCTCCCATCCAAGGCTCGTCAGAATAGCTGGCTTAAGTGATCATGGCTCGAATTTTCTGAACCTTGTCAGTTTGTTTAACCAGAAGCTCTCTAAATGAAAGCTGATGGGATGCTGAGTCAGCAGATCCTTGGGGGCTAGAGAAGATAATGCCACACTCCTGTGGAGGCTTTTCACTGGATAGGAAATAATTGATACCTTGCCGTATTTAAATAATCATAGGTTACTAGGTGATTATCATTGTTATTCACACACATATATGGGTGTGTGTGGAGGTCAGAGGACAACCTTGGCTGCCGTTCTCTCAATGCCCCCCCCCACTTGCAGATTTGGCTAGACTGGCTGACTTTAGATCAGGAAACTTGGACTTGCTCATGGAAGATTCTCTGTACCTGACCTCGAGCACACAAGCCTGCAGTCTGGTGGCACAGCACAGAATGGGCAGAGTTTGCATTCCTCCAAGTCTGCAGGTTTTACAATACACTTTTTTTTTTTTAATAATCTAACAATCTGAGTTGGAGAGACAGCTCAGTTGGTGAAGAGTTAGCCTTGCAAGCCTGAGGAACTGGGCTTCCTAAAGCTGAGCCCTAAAGATCAACTGCCCTGTCAGCAAGCTGTCCTTAATCCTGTGCCAGTTTCCAAACACAGCCCTGGGGACTCATCTGGTGAGCGGCACAGATTACCTCCATTACCGTTGCAACATGCCATTTAAAGGCTCTCACAAATGCAGGGGTCTAGAGCTTCCTGTGATGCTAGAGCAACATAAATATTACGGTGGTGTGCAACCTCAAGTTGGTGCCATGACACAGCTATGAAATCAGTTCAGGAAAGCGCCCATGTGTCACTTCCCATGCTCTGGACAGTTTCGAGAAAACTTAACAGATGCTAGCTGTCACTTACCCAAGGAACATGTTCCATGACTAATGCTCCCCTTCCCTCTCTCCTTCTCCCCCTCCTCACTCTCTCTTCTCTCTGTTCTCTTTCCTCCCTTTCCTCTCTTTCCTCTCCCCTCTCTTCTCACCTCTCATATAGCTTAGCAATATACATTTCCCTGCACACCGCATTTGGCTATGGGCGCACACATGTGAAAACCTCAAACCAGACTAGACATGGACGGTAACACCTGGTAACCTTGGAGAGCCTACCACACTGTAATAATATAACACATTTAGAAAATACTGATCTGAGCATGGGCTGCTCTCCCTATCCTCTTAGGATCATCATATTTTATCAAATCTTCAGCACAAGATCACCCCATGACAACTGACCCCAGGAGACAGATGATTTACAGGGAAGTAGAGGGAGGTGATAGGAAAGCTATCTGAGAAAGGTACAGAGTGCAGAGAGTATTTCAGGAGGGTTTGAAGAAGGAATGGGGCAGAGAAAAGAAAGGAAGAAGGGAAACAGAAGGTGTATTTGTTACACACTCAAGCCCCAGTGTTAGAGGAACTTCCAAATACAGACAAAAATCATCCTCTGCCTTGATCATCTTTCCCAAGCTCCAGGTTCAAGAGAAACTCCACAGGCAAACCAACTCCAGGGACAGTGTGGTGGCACAGGCCCCCCCTACACCTGCAGGCTCAGCACCTTTCATAATGAACACCTTTTCCCTTCAAGTTCCTCTCTGCCTCACCCTGTCTGTCGGGAAGGACATAATTCGGAGACACCCTCACTGGGAAGCCTGTCTTGCCCTTGCCACTGACTGTGAAGGGACACTCCATTCTGAACTCCTCTGGCAGCCTGACTTGCCACACATAAACCTGTATTCCAATCGTCCACTTACTGGAGTAAGTCTCTCATCACATTCCGAACTTTTTGGGAAATTAATAACCAGGAATTAAGTTGAAATTCCATCAAATTGCAAGCCACAGAGTTTGAAGTAATGCCACCCCAGTCTTCTGAGCAGACTCTGTAACCCATCTCCAGCTGAGGCTGTTTACAAATTAACAGTCAGTCTTTTAAAACACAGGTACCGCTCAGCACACGTCTGTAGTGTCAGCACTCAAGAGACAGAGGCCAAAGGATGCCAAGCTCAAGGTCAACCCAGACTACACAGTAAGTTCTAGACCAGCCTAGACTATCTAGTAAGACCCTGCCTCAATAAAACCAGAGGGGGGGGAGATAAGGAGAGGGGAGGGGTGGAGGAGGAGGAACAGGAGGTGGAGGGATGGAGAGAAGGAGAGAAGAGAGAAATAAGAGGAAAGGCATGACAGGGAGAGGGAGGGGGTGGGAGTGGAGGAAGGGCAGGGACAGCTTCTGTTAGTTCGTGGCTTAAAACTCAGATGTGCTTCACCTCTGTCCACACACTGCACCACCTGGATCCCAACATAGTTCCTCAGGGAATCCTTGCAGGGCAGAGTCCTTTTGTTAGTAAGAAGGGCAGCAGGAAGCTTGACTTAGTGCAGCATGAGACTGTGAGGAGGCAGGCAAGCACAGATGCACACACCCAGAATTCATCCAGAAGACGGACTCTGGGCATGTGGTTCACACCTTTAATCCCCAAATTCCAGAGACAGAGGCAGGCAGATCTCTGTGAGTTTGAACCATCCTTGTCTGCATAGTGAGTTCTAGCCTAGCCAGGGATACAACACTACACACACACACACACACACACACACACACACACACACAGTGAAAATGGAGCCTATATGCACAAAGTCCCAGGTGTTGAGCTAGCAAGAGGGTGAAGGTGCCGGCCATCAAGCCTGGGCTCTGAGTTGGATTACCCAGAGCCCACATGGTTAGAGAACTGTTTCTTCCAAACTGTCCTCTGACTCCACACATGCCATGCTGTAGCATATGTGCATATATGCAAATAAATAAATGTGTCATGGGTATTTGAAGCTTCTCTGCCCTGTTCTTGGGGTAATTTTTAATTGTTAAAAAATAAATAAGAGCTGGGTAATAATGGCACACACCTTTAATCCCAGTATTTGGGAGGCAAATTCAGGTGGATCTCTTGTGATTTTGAGGCCAGTCTGGTCTCCAGAGCGAGTTCCAGCATGGGCTCCAAAGCTACACAGAGAAACCCTGTCTCAAAAAAGAAAAAACAAAAAAAACAAAAACTAATAAATAAATACAGTAAAATTTGCAGCATTGACTTTTTTAAGGTTTATTTTACTCTGTGTGTGTGTGTGTGTGTGTGTGTGTGTGTGTGTGAGAGAGAGAGAGAGAGAGAGAGAGAGAGAGAGAGAGAGAGAGAGAGAGATTTGTGCACATGAATGCACATTCCTGTGGGCTCCAAAAGAGGGTGCTCAATCACCCAGACCCAGAGTTACTGATGCTTGTGAGCTACCTGCTCTGGGTCCTCCGCTAGAACTCTACACACTCTTAACTGTTGAACCATCTCTCCAGCCCCAGTACCCAGTAATGATATTGTTAAGTGTTTGACTAGCATTGCTGATTACATTCCTACTATTACTCAACTTTCAACACTATTTTCTTCGATTTTTCATCTTCTTAGGGAAGAATTATGTCCTGTCAAACAGGGAATCTCTGGCTCCCTGTGAAGCCTCTGGCAGCCATTGTTACCCTGTGAATAGCATGTGTGTTTTCTTTAATACTCTATAAAATTTTGTTGTTGTTTTGAGACAGGGTCTCATTGTGTAGCCCTGCCTGTGCTGGAACTTGCTATGTAGACAAAGCTGGTTTTGAACTTGAGGAAATCTTTCTGCCTCCGCCTTCAAGTGCTGGAATTTCAGGCAAGTGCCACCACACCCAGCTTGTACCTCGTGTAATTTGTTCTTACTGCACTTCATATGTTTCCATGGGTCACTCTGGTGGGGATATGTTCACCTGCTTCTTATTTAGGGTTGAGTAATACACTATTGTATTCACAGATCAAATGTTATCAACCATTCTTCCATTGACTATCAGGCTACTGTTCGTAGTGCTGCTGTGCACAGTGGCATACAAGTCATAAGGCCTCAGAACCCTCACCTACAAGCTTTTCAGTTGGTCATATATCCACAAATGGACTTGCTGGGTTACACAGTAACTAACTGTGTCTGAGTCTTGAGACATCATCACCAGTGTTCCACAGTGGCTGCAGCATTTCACATTCTGACTTAGCCCTGCATGAGTGTACTGACATTATAGAATAAGAGTTAAGCTTGGAAGCAACCTAAGCATCTAGTAGCAACTGTTTCCATGGTTTGTAGAGCATCCCCAGTGAAACATATGAAGCAAATGTAGAAATACATAAATACGAATCCTCCTCATGTCCCTGAAGCATCTTGCTGGCTGTGTGTTTTTGTGGCCCTGGCCCTGCAGCACTCAGATTGGGAACTGGGACTAAATAACACTTCATTCATTGTCTTTGGACAAACACAGAAACACCCAGGAGCTCATCTTCGTGGGAAAGGCCACAATGATGTCAAGGAACAAATGCCAAATGCTTGCCTTTGCATTATCTACCTAGACCAGTGAATTCCTTAAATACAGATTGTTCTACAGACTCCTGAGTGAACCCCGACTGGTGCTCCTTGTCATTGCACTTTTGGCCAGTCTCTGTGCTACTTTTCTTGAGAATCCACAGTTGATTATCACAAGATTTAAGAGCAGACAAAATATTATCAGTATTTTTAAGCACCATTTGAATAAAAACATTGCTTAGGGACACACACGCTGGTGAGTCACAGACTGCAGAGGCTATTTTGTCCACTGTAACCTAGCCACATCTGGTCCCTTGTCAAGACAGTAACTCATTAGAGGGGCACTCGGCACTAGGTTCTGAAGCCATGCATAAACAGGAGTAGCCCAAGCCTGCAGCTCCTCTGCCAGAGCACTCAGAAGCAGGGGAGAGAGCAGCAGCATAGATGCCAATGTGCAGAACATGAGTTCTCAGCACCAGAGCAAGGTCCTGGGTATTTATTTTTTTTAATGAATTTAATCCATAGGAAACATTAATGCAGCTTTTTTAAATCTATAGATTTAAATTCCTTTTTTATGTGATGTCTTCAAGTTTTCAAGATGAAGGCAGATAGTGATGATGAAGGAAAAGGATGTAATGGAATGGTTTCTAAAGCAAGAAATATACAATAAGGATTTACAGTGGGTGCCAGGGTATCACATTCTCTGCTGATGTATTCAGCTGGTGTTCAACTGAAACCTGCCCTGCACAACCAGAGTGGTACCTGACAGCAGAAAACACTCCCATTTCTCCCCAGTATCTCCCTAGTACTCACACCCATATCCTGGCAGCCTGAGGACTTTATCCCTAAGAAAACCACTTTAACCACACCACACCAATGAGTAAACGGCAATGGGCTCTGTGTTGTGATTCAGCCCAGTTCTCCCGCTCTCCATCCCATAATTTTAATCCTGAATTGTTCTTCACATAATCAAACCTAGTTCTTAAATATAAATATAGTTTAAATCATAATTTTAAATTAGCTATTAAATTAAATGCAAATGAACATGAGCTGTTACTTATAATTGATTTGACTCCCCTACTGCAAATGATCAAAATTAAATCCCATGAATTACAATATTCCTCTTAAATTAAGCCAAATATTATAATAGGTTTTTCTTCCCTTCTCTCTCTCTTTCCTTCTTTCCTTCTTTCTTTCTTTGGAAAATAAAGATAGAATCAAAAGCATTGGTCCCACGAAGCTCTGATGAGCAAGTGGAGGAAGCGTGTGCTGTGTGTGGTGCTGAGGGTTGTTTTCCTTCGGTATTAGAGGATCCTCTCAGCCCATCACACTGAGTCGGTGGCTAGAACTTACTGTCATAACCCTGATGTCTGAGGAGAAAAGTCTCTAGGCATTTTGAAATAATCAATATTTAACTTGGTTTTTAAGCATAAATATTGTAGGTCACTGGCATGCTTTAAAAGAAAGCCCAAATAACCGGAGCCTCATTTTGATTTCAGAGTTGCTAAAAATAACATATTCACAGATGAGGTGACAGGTCATTTTTTGTTTTGGTTGAACTGAATGTAAAATTGTGAAAGGGGAGCATGAAAAACATGTGCCTGCAAAGCCGAGTCACTTTAAATTTGCATAGCCAAATCACTTTTCCTCACCGGAGCAAACAACTTCAGAATTAATTCAACAGTTTATTCGTCCTCTAGTCAGAGCATAAATACATGTTCCTTTGAAAGAACAGAGATATGGCCAATTGCATGCTAAATTACTTATAATACACATGTATTTCAAAGACAACTGCATATTTGAGATGCAAAAGAAAGATAAACTCTAGGATGAAATCCCGGCAATTGTCAATAGAGTTTGAAGATCCATGTCTTATCATGTTAAATGTAGCTGTTGCCACTTTTTACTTCTTGATTTCTTTGGTTTTATTTGATTGTTATTATTATTTATTTCTTGCCAGAGAAAAAGTATTTTATCACTATAGTATCTCTCACCAGGGTGGAAAAAAAACCTTTTCCATAAAACAATCTTTTTCCCCAGAAAATAAGAGTATATGTTTAATTCCTACAAGCAAAACAACCAAAGTGCTCATATCAGAAGAGAACGAGGTAACATGAGATATATATCACATTTTACATAGGTATACAAGACAGTTGCATGTCATATATTTACATCTATACTATGTGCTTGATCCCAGGTGTAAAAATCCACCTTAAACACACAAAGCCTCCATGACTATCTTAGCCTACTTAGGAAAGGCAAATTTCTGTGAAGACTGCTACCTTTGATGGAATATGTCTTTATTAACCAGCCTGTCACATTTTAATTTTTTAAATCATCAAAATGTACTCCTGTTATTTAAAAATTCCTAATTTCTAATGCAACTTGATGTTTTAAGTATAAAGTTTAATGATTTAGTCTTGGCAACCAAAGACATTTCCCTACTTCCTATCAGAAGGCTGTTTGAACCCTGACTTAAACAGTCCTCGTTAAACACTGCATTGAACATATTCTTTACACTAATAAGAGGAAAAGCAAATAGCACATTAAGACTTATTGAGACTTTGCCTCCCTTCAGTGGAGCCTGTTACTTGAAAATTTTGCTTATTAAAAGAGGGGAAAACCTTACAAGGTGGAAAATTTTAAGCTTTATTCCTAACATTCAATTATTGCCCCAACTGG